TAATTTTTTTCCTCACACTTTCTGGGGGCTAGACATTCAAGATCAAGTCATTAGCACATTTGGTATCTTTCTCCCTAGACTGCAGATAGCAGTTCTTATGAGATCACCCACCTGCCTGTATCTTAATCTTTTCCTATAGACATTTTTCATATTGCGCTGAAGCTTACCTAACCACCCTGTTTCAGCTTTATCACTTTATTTTATCACATTCTCCCTCTCTCTCTCTCTTTCTCTCTCTCTCTCTCTCTCTCTCTCTCTCTCTCTCTCTCTCTCTCTCTCTGTGTGTGTGTGTGTGTGATGTACATTCATATGGGTATGCAAGCATGTGTTCTTGGAGACCAGAGGTAGATGTCATGTATCTACCTCAATTTTCTCTTTGTCTTATTTGAGACAAGGTCTCTCACTGGACCTGCAGCTGGAGACTGACTGGTCATTTTCCTGTCTCTGCCTACCCAGGGCTGAGATTACAACTATCGACTGCTGCATCCAGGTCTTACATAGCTGCTGTCAATCAAACTAATTCTTACATAGCAAGCAATTCACAGACTAAGCCATCTCAACAGCCCCCTAAATGATCACACTCAAAGTAAGGCACTGGTGGTCAAGGCTTCGATGGGAATTTTGAGAAACAACTCTATGACTGGGTTGCATATTTTCACTTTTCTGTTGAACAGGAGGTTCATGAGGCTTCCAATACCAACACTGAAGAGCTTGTGTGCTCAACATCCTATGATAATCCCCTTCAGTCCTGGCACGGCCAGGGATAAATGTTCATACCATGACAGAAGTGGAAACTGACTCTCATAAGATTTGACATTTTCCCTGAAACGGGATCATCCAGAGTACAGAGAACCCCAAGACTTTATTGGCCACATGAAAGGGGCCGCTGAATGCAAGAGGGAAAGACAAGCTTAAGAGAGAATGATACGGAGAATGAAAAAAAATTCACTTGTATTTAGGAATTACTTAGAAACAGAGTCTCTCTGAATCCTCACAGGCTCTGCTCAGTGGGTATTCTCATGATTATTATTAATATTTCCATTTTACTGATGAGGATGTTAAGGCTCAGAATGTGAAGCTTACCTTTGTTATCTTACCCTCTTGAGAACTCTGAGAACCCACACAAGGTAACTGTAGCAGCAGTTTTGAGATACGTTGGTCTCTCCCTTGTCTCCCACCCTTCTGCTCAGCAATGCCCAGTCGGGGGGGGGGGTTAGAGGACACTGTGCTTCTTTTCCTGTTGTGAAATATTAGATTATACTGTGTGAAGATGTGACAATGTGATTGTTTAACAAAAAGTTAAATGGCCCGTAATAGCTAGGCAGGAGATATAGACGGGACTTCTGGACAGAGCGTGCTCTGGAAGGAGAAACGCAGAGTAGCCAGCCTGACTTGGAATGACAAGGATGGACATAATGGAGATGAGGTTATGACTATGTGAAAGAATATAGATTTTAAAAATATTGACAATTCTAAGTTATAAGAGCTAGTTAGAAATGAGCTGAGGCTAAAGCCTAACTTTCATAAGTCTCTGTGTCATTTACTGAGATGATGGCCCAAACAAAAATCCACCTACACCACCTGGTTTTTATTTGTTGTTGTTGTTGTTGTTAGTTTGCTTTTTAAAAGCCAAGACTAGTATTATTCTTAATGTTGCTGGCGGTGTGTGGTTTTAGAAAACAGTTAATATTCACTGAAGACACATTTCATGGGTGTCATCTTCTTGTAATGGCTGCTGTTGATTGACAGGATCTTGATGTGGGATAATGCTCTTCTATACTGTAAAGATTTGTTACTCACATTGGTTTAATAAAAGGCTGATTGGCCAGTAGCCAGGCAGGAAATATAGGTGCGGCTACCTGACAAGAATTCTGAGAAGAGGAGAGGCAGAGACATAGTCGCCAGCCAAACACAGAGGATGCAAGATGAGAACGCCTTGCTGAGAAAAGGCACCAAGCCATGTGGCTAAACACAGATAAGAATTATGGGTTAATTTAAGCTGTAAGAGCTAGTCAATAATAAGACTGAGCAATAGGCCAAACAGTTTATAATTAATATAAGCCTCTGTGTGTTTATTTGGGACTAAAGGGCTATGGGACCAGACAGATAAAAACTTCCTTCTACAGATATAGAATCACCTAGGGAACCAGTGTAGGCATACCTGTGATGGTCGGCTATATTAGGCTAGGCTCTTGGCTTGCCAGTAAGGGATTATCTTGTGTTCATTCACTGGGAAGATCCACCCTAAAACAGGGTGGAACCATTCCCTAGGCCTGGGTCCTGAACTGCATATGAAAGAGGAAGCTAGTTGACTGTGAACACTCATCACTCTCTGCTTCCCAATTTCAGGTGCAATGTGACCAGCTCCCAAGCTCCTGCCACCATGATGAACAGGCAGTAGAACCCTGATCCCAAATTATAAACCCTTCTTTCCTGAATTTGTCTTTGTCAGAGTATTTTATCGCAGCAACAGGAAAAGGAACTAAGACAAATACCAACAGATAAACATAACAAGGAAGAATCTGAAACAAACAAAACTATCTAGGGAAGAATATCAGCAACCAGTAGAATGGAGAAGGGATACACACAAGGGTCTGGGAAAAGCTTTGGATGTGGGAGATGAACTATATCCTGATTTTGTTGTTGCTTTATTTGCAAGCATTTTAACCAGATTTGTGTACTGGTTAGTGTGGCCTTGCTATAGTAAGTGTCTAAGATAAGTAACTTCTAAAGAGAAAAGGTTGGTTCTGTAAGTTCTAACCCATGACTGTGGAGCTGCAGACTTAGGGTCTGCTAAGGCAAAAGCATATCATGGCCAGATCACATGGCAGAACAAAAATGTTTACCTCATGTCCTGTAATTACAAGAGAGAAAAGGAGAGGTATAACCTCACAGTCATGTATGTGCGTGCATGTGTGTGTGTGTGTGTGTGTGTGTGTGTTCTCTAACTTATTTTCTGAGACAGGGTCTCTCATTGAACCTGGAAATGCCTATTTGACTGGTCTGGCTGGCCAAAGCACTCAAAGTATTCTCCTGTCTCTGCACCCTACCTACACTGGGATTACAAGCACATGCCACCATACCTGGCTTTTACATGGGTTCTGGGGGACCCAAAGTCAAGTCTTCATGATTGTATGACACATACTTTGCCATCTGAGTCACCTTCCCATCTTTACCTCCCAATCATTTCTGAGTTTATGTCTCTAATGACCTAGAGATTTCCCACTAAGCAGCAACACTTAACCACCTTTCAATAGCAAGCAAGCCTTTATTTGGAAGGGGCACTGAATATCCCAACTGTTACAACCATCAACCTATGCACTTAAAGCAGTTTATACAGAAGTTATTCCTCAATAAAGTATGCGTGTGTGTGTTTGTGTGTGTGTGTGTGTGTGTGTGTGTGTGTGTGTGTGTGGTGTAAATCACTGAAAACCCCATCACCAAGAACAGCCATTTAAAAGTTTTTATGTTGTCAGGACACAGCCATGCATTCATATTTCTCTCTCTATCTCACTCTCTGTCTGCCTCCTCTTTTTTCTCGTTTTCATAATCAACACACAGAATGTGCATTAGCACATTCTTGAAAAAGTTCAGTTGCTTTCTACATCTTATACTCACTTAACCTCTTTGGGCCAAACTTTGTTGGAGAGGCTCATCTCCCCAGCGGCTGGTCTCTAGAAGTTGTACGTGTTGTTTGTGGCATCACACCTGCTGCTGTCAGTGTGACTCCAGGTGGTTCCCCCTTATCCCCAGCCTCAGGGTAGCCGTTTAACATCTTCAGGACAATGTCAACAACAACAGAAGTGCAAGTAGTAATCACATTTATTTCATGCCCTCCTGTGAGGATGGCACCAAATGATGGAATCAAATTTACTGGCTCTAACCCTGGCCCTGCTCAGGAGATGCTGATGCCCGGTGTTATGGGGCTGTGTGATTCCCACTTACACTTGGCCTCAGGCAGCAGAGGCATCCAGAACAGTTTCTGTCCCATCTACACTGGTATCTATGCAAAGGGGCAGCCACTACTCTCATTTCACAACTGCCTAATGACACCGATAAACTGAGGACATGCAATCCCACCCTAGTCGTGGTCTGTCCATTCCCTCAGCCCCAAGGACCACGCCTGACAAATAGAGCAGAAATTATAGACATCTGATTTAAGGCTATGTGTGTACATTACTCTTGAGCCAAGCCCCAAACCCTAGTCCTGTTGCTACATCAAAGGGCCATCTCTGCTCCAGCCACCAGGCCCAGAATAAGCAGTAATTTGAGAGGCAGCCCCTTTTATTTTTAGCCTCAAAAAAAAAAAAAAAAAAAAAAAAAAAAAAAAAGCCAAAGCCTACATAGCGCTCACTAAAACGTCTCTCCTAAAGCTGTTGTTTGACTTCGGTTGAGAAAATGACAGGCTGAGTTCTGCACCAAGAAGAGAAGGGGGGCTAAACGGCAAACGGGGGGGGGCACCACGTCCAACCTCCATCCCCCTTGAGTCCTCCCCTAGGCCAGGGTGGACCCTGACTGGGTAATCGTCCCCTGCTATATTTAAAAACCACAGATGTGTTTTAAGGGACTTAATTTCGGAATTTCGGGCGGCGTCTCCTGGGGACAAGGGGAAAGCCAGTGCTCTGCTCGCGCCCGCCTGCTAGCTTCCAACTCTGGGGAATCCAGGTCAGGATACGTCGTCGTCGCCTTCTTGCAGCTGCTGCCAGCCGCGAAGCTCCAAGCTCCACGGTTCAGCGACTGGGTGGGTGGCCTCCGGGTAGGGCTTGTGTCTGCATTCGATCTTCCAGGGGCTCTCTGCGCGCAGGGATCGGGCCGGATGTCCATGGCCCGCTGCGAAGCGCTATGCAAGTCTCCCCTCCGTTCGCCAGGCTAAATATGCGTGGCTTGTCATTTGGTGTGGCTGCCTCCCAGCTGATAGGGTGACGTCGGGTTTGGAGGCTTGGAGATTGGCTTTTTGATTTGGCTTCTTGCGGAGGCTTAATGGGCAAAGCTCTAGGCTCGCCCAGAAACCGGCCCCTATTCTCGTCCCCCCTCTGCACGCTGCGAGGCCGAGACGTCTCCCGCGGTAACGGCGGGGAGGTTGAGTTGCGCGCTCCCAGGCCCGGGAAAGCCCGGGCGACGCGGCAGCCAGCCCCCGCCGGGGTCCCTCCGAGCCGCCAGGGCGCGCCGCGCTGCTCTCCGTCCCGCCCCTCTCGCAGGGATCCCCAGGCGAAGGCGGCCGGAACTCCGGGCCTTGCCCGGGCCACTCGGGCCATCCCTGTCCCTTGGCTCAGCGCCGAGGGTCCGCACTCCGCGCCCTGCGCCCTGGCCCCCAGCGCTCGAGCTCCAAATGCGCTGCCCGGTGGCCCCCTGACAGCTGCCTGCACACGAGCTCCGGCGGGCGGCGCGGCGGACTGTCATGCCCGGGACGCCGCTGCAGCCGGCCCGCAGCCCGCGGGGGCGATGAGCCGCTGCGGCCGGTGAGGAGCCGGGCGGCTCGGGCATCGCGCACCTTCCTAGCCCGCCTCACTTGCTCATTGGGCTCTGGAGGCTGAGGGGAATTGGTGAGTAATGGGATGAGCCCACAACCCACCCACCGCGAAGCAGGGGATGCCAAGATCCCGGGCTTAAGATGCCCCCAAGAGGGTCCCTGGTGGAGAAGAATCATGACAAGTTATTTCTCAAGATCATTCGCATGCACTGCCTTCCTGTGGGTTTAGTGCCAGAAGAAGTGGGGGAGGGTGCCCGGGAAAGTGTAGGTTGTGTATGCGGTGTTGGGGGGGGTGACAGAGTGTCTAGGCGAGGGTGCTGGGGGGCATCGAGAGATGCCTATGAACCATGGCACCGGAAACAATGTGTGCAGAGTCCTGTCCTGTGTTTGCTGACTTAGTGGAGGGTGCATCTCGATGGGGAATCTGCATGCCAGGTGTGTGTGTGTTTGTGTGTGTGTGTGTGTGTGCGCGCGCGTGCGTGTGTATCGGTGTCTCGCTGGTGCCAGGGCGTGTTGAGTTCCTGGGGTTGAGTGTTCACCGGTCATGGGATTAGGAGGGGGAAACCGTGTTATTCGCTACACACACACACACACACACACACACACACACACACACACACACACACACACCGCCAACCTTGGGACTCCCTTGCCTCCAGCCTGCACCTGCAGCCCCAGCGCAACGTGCCCTTTCCCTCCTTCCCCTGTTTGGGCTAAGCCTGAGATTTCATCTCCCACCCTGGCTGTGGTCTGGGTGATTCCAGTCTGTGGAGAGAAGTCAAAGTATATTAGCAACCCCCCTCTCCCCTCAACTCTCTCTCTCTCTCTCTCTCTCTCTCTCTCTCTCTCTCTCTCTCTCTCTCTCTCACACACACACACACACACACACACACCACCACCACACACACACTCACACAGATGCCCTCATTTAAAGGCCAGCCCTGCTTCTGCAGGCCCTGACTGACCTGCCCTGAGGACCTGAGCCACTGGGACAGAGGATGAAACACGGTTTGCTAGAGGGGGTATCGGGGGAAGAGGCAAATTTTCCTTTTTATCCGTTGCGTTTTATTTTTAACCATGGAGTTGGGGGGGGGGACTAAATAGAGCAAGTGCCTTTAATGCAGTGCTGTAAATTTCCTCACTCGCTGCCTGCCTCTTATCCTTGTCTCCCTCTCTATTTCTCTTCCTCTTTTGGCAATTAAAAAGCAAACCTCTGAACCTTTGGTGCTAAGGTTTCCCAGGCAGAAAGAGTGAAATTGGGTACAATTTATCAGAAATACAGGCTGCAGCTGGGTGCCAGGTGCCCAGCTCCTGGGTGGTCAAGAAACCCCCAAAGGGGGAGGCTTGTGGGTACATGATAGAAACACATCCGGTCTTCTGGTGAGGTACCAAAAGGGAAGCCTGCCGGCCTCCAGCGACCTGGTGACTTGCAACCGTGCTCCTGGGATTAATCTTCCACAGCTGTTGTGACTGTCCAATTGAGCTGAGCTCTTGTTTACCTCAGTTTTCAAATATAGCTGCTGCGCCATGCTCTTCCTGAAATAGGGGGATCAGTTCACTGTGTATGGGCCAGAGACCTTCCTCGGGTCCTTCTCCCCCACCTTCCCACTGCCCTTGCTGCCTCTGACTGGCTCGCCCAGCTTTGAGAGGAAGCTGCTCCTAAATTCAGGCCTGGCAGTCTTGGGAAAAAAGGATGATTGATGGCCAGAGCTTTCGGTGACTGGATGAGGACTGGTCAGCCCGGGGCCAGCACTGCAATCTACGTTCTCATTAGCGGTCCTTCACACGTATCTTTAAATAAATGAACCATAAAAGAGTGTGTGCTTGTGTGTGTGTGTGTGGGGGGTGTTTAAGGAACCTCCACAGAACCTGCATGACTGGGAATTGATTGTAAAGTTCCTTCTTAACTTGATAAAGACCAGAAGGCCATGGTGCAGGTCCCTTTACATGGAATGCTTATTCCGCACTCCAGTTCTCAATACTGCTCACCCAAGAAAGCTTTGCATTCCTTCTGACTACGCTATGGGTTACTCTGTAAACCCATAATCTGAACCTTTGAAGCCATCTACGATGTAGCTCAATTTTACTGCTGTGACTGAGTGAAAGCTCTGGACAATGAGCTCTGCAAAGAGAGGGAGGGTGGCTGGCAGTTTGTCCCCACTGTATCCCCAGGGCCTGTCATAGAGCAGGCGCATGGTAACTGGTTAAACTAATGGAGGCGGAGGCACGTGTTACCTTTTCGCCCCCGTTGGTGTCTCTACACAGAGAAGGGAGAGACTCCAAGACAAACTCTGTTTTGTTGTTGTTTGCTTTGTTTCGTTTGTAACAAAATCAAGCTAGGCCTGACAGCAGAGGTCTGTACCCTCAGCAGGAGGATTACAAATTCAAGGCCTGCCTGGGCAATTTAGTGAGATCCCATCATCAACACCAAAACTATTGGTGTGTGGGGGAGGGGCAGCAAGACCCTTTTGTAGCTCAGCGGTAAAGTACTTGACTGGGGTGTTCATCTATTTACTCTGTAGTACTCTGAGAATAAAATCCCTTACTCTGGACCCGTCCCTGGGCTTGCACACTGATTCCCTTGCCCCCCAGCCTTCTTCTTTCTATTTCTGTGCTAAACAGTTCAGTATAATCTCAGGTCACAGTGATGGGTATCACCTCAGGCAATGGTGTGTGAGGCATTCATTGTTTCCCAACCTGCATGGTCCAGCCATTGCCCACAATCAGCATTTGTGAGATGTCACCATCTTGATTTCTCTTCACATGCTAAGTTTGATGAGTGGAGTAATTCCCTTCATCCAAGCCTGCTTGCTTTGCCTAGAGGTTCAAATATTTTCTCCAAAAGAGAAAGCCTTCGCTTGTTATTACGGGGAGACATTTATTGAACAGGCATTCAGCAAGCACCTACTCTGCCAGACATGAGCTAGGTAACAGGCATGAAGGACTGAATGGTTCCTTTCCTCATAAATACATATGCTAGCAGGGACAACCAGCCCAGTGAAGAGGCTATTACTGTTATTTCTGCCACATGAAGGGCAACGGAAGACCATAGAAGTAAATACAAACAGTCACCTTTTCTCAGGGCCTGGAGGCTAACTCTTAGGATAACTGAGCCCAGAAAGGAAGTATGGGTTCAGGTTAGCTTTGGTGAATGCAGTGAGGAGACAGAGGGGAAGGGAAGACATTGCTGAGTGAAGAGATCAGTGTTTAAAACACCTAAAGTGGAGAAGGTTTTTCCAAATGCCTGGACACAGAGATGCAGGGCGGTTGTGGTTGGAGAAGCTGTAGGGCCAAACTGTGAAGGGCTTACACTATACGCTAAGGAATTGTAGGGAGTTCCAGTGAGGCATTAGGAAGGCTTTAACTCCAGAAGTGAAGGAGCAGATTGGCGTTTTATACAATATGCAGAAAGGGGCCGAAACTGGGTGTAGAGCCAGTGGGACGTTTCTGTAGATCTCCAAGTGTACTGATGGAGAGAGGAGTTCCTCTGTTTTTGTTCATAGATCTCCAAGTGTACTGATGGAGAGAGGAGTTCCTCTGTTTTTGTTCATAGATCTCCAAGTGTACTGATGGAGAGAGGAGTTCCTCTGTTTTTGTTCATTGATCTCCAAGTGTACCGATGGAGAGAGGAGTTCCTCTGTTTTTGTTCACAAACTAGAATGTTCTTATATGTTTTATTGTGAGCCTAGCCTTTAAAGGTCGAGCCATTTCCCCAGCCCTGGAATGTTCTTTCAAGGGAGAAATGGTCCATTAATTTTCTTTAATGAGGCTGCCTTATATTTGATTGTTCATATGCCTTGAATAGACTTTCTAAACCCAGCCTTGGGGAGAGATGCCTTAGAAGGAAGGAGAAGTGGCCTCAGGATGTATAAGTAAGAGAAACCCTGAAAGATGAGGGATGGAAAGGTCTTTGAGGATATGAACCTCTCCCCCCACCCCCACCCCGCCCCATTCCCCACCCCACCCCACCCCATTCCCCACCCCGAAGGAGCATAGGAAGATGAGAAGGATTTACATGGAGCAAGACTTCTAGATTGCAAACTCGTATGTGTATGAAGATACACTTCTTTAAAGAACTGTATGGAGAGTTGATGAATCTAATTGCAGCGTCCTGGGTACTTGGATGTTGTATACAGAGTCATGCCTACTAAGAAAACTGCTTTGCTATATCCTAGCTATAACATGGAACAGGCCAAGGAGCATGAACTGCCCTGATACTGTCCTGGCTGTGCAAGAGTACTGGGTCATGTGGGGACTGGATCCGGAAGCAGGACTGGACGCTGAGACTACCCCAGCTTCCAGGTGGTACTTTCTAAATCCTTTGAGAGGAGAAGGCTGCCAGTGTCCAGTAGGACAGAGAAGACTGTGGTGCAGTCAGCCGTTCCTCCCCTGGGTCATATCTGCTCCACTCGGCTCCTCCTACTCACTACTCCCAGGACCACTCTCTTCCTAAAGGGGACTCCTCTAATCTGGAGTCTATTTCTCCTGTCTCCTGTCTCCCCACAAACCCTACTCTAGAAAGAGCGGCTTGCCCACTTCCCCTCCCTACCACCTCTCCTCATCCTAAGATCATTTCTTCATCACTCCACTGCTCATCATTTCCCACCTTCCTCCACCACTGACTCCAGGACCTCTCACTCTCCAGATCATAGTGAGCACTCACTCTCTCCCTCCATACTCTCCTGCTTCAGATGATGTTGACCGTTGCTAGCTCCTTACAACTTCCTTGCTGGGCTTCTAGTGGGCTGAGCTCTCCTATGGTCCCTCATCCACTTCTGAAAACAAACAAACAAACCTGCCCCCTTCCCTGTTTTCCCTTCCTCCGCCATTCCTTGGCAGTCTTCCCTGGTGGCTTGAGCTACCATTCCAGGATGCCCCTGAAGCTTGTGTTTCTAGCTCCCCATGCTCGTGCCTTATGTCCAGCCACTTGTGCATTGTCTGCAATGGGATGTCCACCAGTTTCAGGAACTGAATATACTCAGTGATCCTTAGCTGACCTTCCCCAGTGTACAGTCCATAGTAGCCTTCTGCTGCTATACTCAAGGACTTTCTCTGAATGACTGCCAGTGCTCT